AACTACCCAACAAAAATAGGACAGTTCTCTGTGGCAATCAGTAGGAACAACTGGATAGGAAATCTAGTTTTCTTTCTTACCTTTCAAATTATAAATGAGTTAAAAAAAATAGTATCTCTTTCCTAGGAGAGCTTTTCCTAAAAAAGTTAAAAAAAATGGACTTAGAGAAAAAAGCACTGTTTTTAACTATCACCCAGGGGCTTTCTCTCTTATGTCACAGGGCCTAGCATTATTAATAGAAGTGCTTTTCTTCTGGTCGTCACTCTTGTCATTTCTGCGTCTCTGCCTCTCCACTGCCTCTGCCTCCAGACCAGTCGAAAGGCTGAGCCCTGCTCCGCACGCCTGTCTCCTGCCAGAGAATACGTGTGTTTTGTGTGTTCAGAATTTTAATGTTCAGCTACATTTAATTTTTGTCATTTGGAATGAACCAGAAATTTAATTTGCAAGTGAATTTTTGCATTGTTTTAAAAGGTAATTGTGTGAAGGAACTAAAATAATTAGGGACACAAGGGATCTTCTCCCAGCAGAACCTCCCAGCAGAACATACTGCAGAGAAATGCTTTTCTAGTTGTCTCAGTTTGAGTCATGGGCCCTAGACTGTCACCAGGTGAAAGTCAGGCCCAAGGCCAGATACTTATTAATTGGTTCATGTTAATTAGCATAAGAATTTCTTTTTTCAAAGTTATTGAGAACTTTTTTCATCACCCATAAAACATACAGCCCTCTGATGTCCCCAAACATATCCTCTCCCTTTAAAAAACAAACAAACAAACAAACAAACAAACAGCCTTATTGAGTTGGAATGGACTTGTGGTAAGCGTATGTCCACTCAAATAAACATACAAAATTGTGCAGTTGGCCCCGAAATCTGGCTTTCGAACATTTCCATCACCTCATGCGCATTTGCACTCAGCCCCATTCCTACTCCAGCCCCACTGATGGGCCTCGCTCTGGGTACAGCTTCGCCTTTCCGGGCATTTTCTTCCAGACGCCGATATTGTGCACGTGCAGCACTTGCTTTATGTGAAAGTGCACGTGAAGGTACCTGCTCTCTTTCAGGGACACTCAGCCGAAATCATCTCCTTGTCCTTCAACACCTCAGGAGACAGAATCATCACGGGGTCTTTCGATCACACGGCTGTGGTGTGGGACGTGGAGGCTGGAAGGTAGTCCATCTATTTATTTATTTAAAAATTTCTATTTATTGCTTTTCTTTTTTGAGAGGGCGAGAAGCATGGATCTGTTGTCCCAGTTACTTAAGCATTCATCTGTTGGTTCCTGCACGTGCCCTGGTTGAACCCACAACCCTGGCGCACCCGGCAGCGCTCCAACCAGCTGAGCTACCCGGTCGGGGCTGGCGTTCTTCATTTTTAAGAACCTTTCAGTCTGGATCAGAACACAGATCTTTGTAACTTATTAGTTTCATCTGGAAGGTATTGACTGTGCTCTGGACTCCATAAGAATGAGGCACAGTTCTGTATTTCATTCATTCACAATAGTTCCGATCCACACACAAAAAATTATGTGATTTCTCAGAATTCTGAGCAAAGAACGCCAATTAGCAACATAAAAGGGGCATGTTAGCAATAGCCTGGTTATATAGCTACTGTTTATCCTCTGTGCTAGTAATCAAGTTTCCATGGCTTGTCATCACGGCGGGCATGGATATCCTGAGCAAATAAAACCACGGCTAATTTCCCAAATTTAATTTAGTCCGAGAACTTCAATTTCCTTCCTAATTATTTTTGGCTCTAGTTGCTAAGAAGTTAATGAAATTAGCCTATCTGTGTTGTAAAACTCCGCCCTTGGACTTGTCTGCGTTTTGTTAAGAGGGTTAATTATCAGGGGTACCGATCAGGATGTCGGCAACAAATGAGGGGGCAGGAGGGCCCTGCAGACACTTGCATGTTGTTTTTAAGTACTAGGGGTTCACTTATCTGCTGTGGGAATAATTCCAGAACTTCAATCTACCTTCCCTTTCTACCCCTGTCTCTCCAAAGTGTTACCTTCAGTGATGTTATTTTTGGGTGTTTAAAATTTAAGTATATTTCTGTTGAAATGAAATGAATAGTTGACTCTTTTTGAGCTACCGCGAAGCCAGCTTTGTTTTGTCATCAAAGACATTATTTTGTAAAAACTAGAATTTATCCGCTGACACCATTGGGGTCGCCGTCACTCATCTTGCACGTACGCTGACCGAAGGCATCTTTGCATCATTTCCGATTTGCAGGAAGGTGTGCACCCTAATTGGGCACTGCGCCGAGATCAGCAGTGCCTTGTTCAGCTGGGATTGCTCTATGATACTGACTGGCTCCATGGACAAAACCTGCATGGTGAGCTCACGAAATGCCTTTTCGCTGCAGCAGATATTCAGTGCGACATTATCAGATTTCAAAGATGCTGTAAAATTAAGATATTTATAAATAATAATTGGTCATTTTTTAATTTCAAGTTTTTGATCCCTCAAGTTGAAAGGAATTATGATGTAGTAAAATAATTTTAATTGATTTGAATATATTAAGAGATATTATTTTTAAAAGGTGCATTATTTTTGTTTAATGCCCCTAGTCATTTATTAAACATTGATTAAAGTGAAGTTCCAGACAGTGTCTCCCTGCCTTTAAGTTTCTGTTACTAAGAGCTTATGCTCTGGAACCATTCTTTGATCATATGTCAAATGTATTATTATCTTAATGAGCTTTTCATTTCCTGGCACTGTAGTTCTAGATCAAGCTCCCCATAATTTGACGACCTGCTTATGAAAAGTGGACACTTCCACTCCAATGAGTGAAGCGAGCACTTCTGAGTTTTTTCCTAATGTAGCCTCACGTTTGCACCGCCCATTCTAAATGTCTGTCTCGGGTTTCCTTTGCGTCCCAAGTGTGTCTTCTTAGCTGGTTGGCTGTGGTCTCTTGTCAGAATCAAGGTATAATGAACAGAGCATGTGAAAATTATACCTATGATTTTGGCATAGTTATTGAACCAGCCGTAAGGACGTCATAAAGATTGCTGCTGGCCATCGCTGCATTTTAGACAAGAAGTCATAGTCGTCTTCTTCTACTCCCTCTTCTTCATTTTTTAAAAAAAATAATCGCAGCTGTGGGATGCTACGACTGGAAAATGTATGGCAACCTTAACAGGCCATGATGATGAAATTCTGGACTGCTGCTTTGACTACGCCGGAAAGCTGATCGCCACTGCCTCAGCCGATGGTAGGTGGCCTGGTCTTACGCTCGACTTGCGGAGGGGTTTCTGGTTCGCCTGATGGGGGCGTGTGGGGCTACACGGCCGGTCATCCCCGAGAGCCAGCTGCTAGGAAGCGCGCCTGCCTCACCCCGGCTGTGGCTGTGCGTTCCCTTACCGCGTCTGTATCATAGTCTCCGTAACCGCACAGGATGCTGTGCAATACCTGCGCCACCTCCTTGACAGCCACGCATGACTTTAGACTAGGTCTCCATCGTCTCCTTGACAGTGCTGTATAATGGCATATTCTGGGTCATCTCCCTGGTGCTTATGGGTTACGCTACACAGTGTCAGCCTCATCAACTTGACCACTGTCGATGGCTCTGCAACAAACCTGCCTTATCTCCTTTATGACACATGTGCTGCTCCACCGTGTCGAGCAGATCTTCGTGATGAGCACCTGTGATGCCCTGCTGGACACATGTCCCCAGTTACCACCTGTGATTCTACACCATGTGTTTCTCATTGATGATCACGGGCTGGTGCTACCCTACGTCCTCAGTTTCACAAGGACCACATGTGATGCCACAGTCCATCTATGCCGATGTCCTCTTGACCACACACGCCATTACAATATTATTTTGTTGGTGATTTATTTTAACTGCCTAGTTTTTATTTCATCACTGTCTCCCTTTTAAAATTACATTTGCAGAAGAGTTCTCTTACTAGGACTTTTCAAAGGTAATTCTTTGATCATACATACAAGTTGTTTTTATATCCTGGACTATAAACCCTCTGAATCTGGGCAATTTTGTTTTTTTAAGTAACCACTTCTCTATTTTCTCATGGATGTTGGCTTTTAAAAGTCATCTCTCAACTGTTATTAATCTGACCTTTTCATTATAAATGTCATTCTCAATATCAAACTGCATTCAATATATATAGGTGAAATACCTACTTTGTGCCAGGACTTGTTTCAGGATCAGAGGGTATATCAGTGAAAAGAGACAGAAATCCCTGCCCTCGGGAGCAGGCGACAATGACCAATGCCATGCGAATATTTTATGTGGAATGTTAGATTATACAGGATGGTAGGAGCTGGTCAGTGCTGTGGGGGCCAGGAAGCAAGCAGGGTTGGGGGATCAGGACACGAAGGGATGGTTGAGAGTGAAATACAAGTTCACCTCTTCCAGTTGTGTTTTTTTCTACGATCTGCTATCCCCCCAGCAGTGATTCTATTCTTTCCTTGTTTGATGAGAAATTTCTTCAAAAGACTCTCTTTTTTTTTCTCTCTTTGCTTTTGGTGTGCTTTGCAAACCTCTTCTTATTCTGTGCTTCCTGAGAAGTATTGATGTGTAGACCAATCTTCTTTATTTATCTCTGGTCTTTGCTCTTCATTTCCTTCTTACAGTTGAGTCGGTCAACACAGTGAGTGACCTGTGCAGCTACATCTGCTCCTGTATATTACCGTTTCCTTCCTCATTGGAATTACTCTCAAGGCTTAATTTTTTTGTCTTATTTATATTTCTATCTTTTTTAAAAAAATTACAGCTTTAGACTTATTTCTGTGTTTTCTGAAGATTAAAAATGATTTTTTGTGTTCATTTGTAGTATTACTCTATGCAGGATGCTCCCCTTCATGTTATTAACAAACTCTTAATACAAGTTGGTCACTTTCCTTTAAGGCTTTTGAAATGTCCCACTAAGTAGCAAGTTTTATATTTTTAATTATATTAATTCTAAAATAGCAGTTTTTATCATTTGGTCTACTTCCTCCGGAGTTGACATTGTCAGAAAGTAAGTAAAAATGTTAAGATACTTTTCTCTTCTCTGAATGAAAATTAAGTGAACAAAACACCCTATCCTTGCCAATTTTACTCTATGTAATGCTGTAATTTGCAAAGAGAAAGCACCCTTCACCTGAACTGACAAATATTAACTTTTTTTCTGACAACTGCATTACTGCTGTTTTTCTCTTCTATGCTTATTTATCTATTTTTTTTAATTCTAAAGAAACATATACTTTTTCTTCCATTTACCCATCCATCCTTCATCTNAATTCTAAAGAAACATATACTTTTTCTTCCATTTACCCATCCATCCGTCCATCCGTCCATCCGTCCATCCATCCATCCATCCATCCATCCATCCATCCATCCATCCATCCACCCACCCACCTACATCTATTTTTTGAGTGGCACTTCTGGGCACTGGGGATAAACAGGGAGCAAACCGTTCATCCTTTGTCTCTCTCTGTTTGGAAGGGTTCCCTCCTGCCTGTTCTCTGTGCATTGAGGGGTGGCCCCTGTTACTTCTTAGGGCGGCCGCTCGCACCTTCTGTAGCCTTAGACTCGTATTCGGTGCATGATGCTAGGCTTTCTGCTTATTGCATCCCCAACTTCTCAGGACTTGTTTTCTTCCCTCTTTTTCCCTTTAAAATCTCTTTTTCATTCTGAATTGCTGCCCCTCCTTTCCTACCTTGGAACCCGTTATCTCTGGCGAAAGCTCGGGGCCAGAGAGGCCCCCCACACACCCTCGTACCCACCGCGGGACCAGCGGCTGGCCCTCACCCCGAAGACAAACCTCACGGAGAGCCNGACATTGTCAGAAAGTAAGTAAAAATGTTAAGATACTTTTCTCTTCTCTGAATGAAAATTAAGTGAACAAAACACCCTATCCTTGCCAATTTTACTCTATGTAATGCTGTAATTTGCAAAGAGAAAGCACCCTTCACCTGAACTGACAAATATTAACTTTTTTTCTGACAACTGCATTACTGCTGTTTTTCTCTTCTATGCTTATTTATCTATTTTTTTTTAATTCTAAAGAAACATATACTTTTTCTTCCATTTACCCATCCATCCGTCCATCCGTCCATCCGTCCATCCATCCATCCATCCATCCATCCATCCATCCATCCATCCATCCACCCACCCACCTACATCTATTTTTTGAGTGGCACTTCTGGGCACTGGGGATAAACAGGGAGCAAACCGTTCATCCTTTGTCTCTCTCTGTTTGGAAGGGTTCCCTCCTGCCTGTTCTCTGTGCATTGAGGGGTGGCCCCTGTTACTTCTTAGGGCGGCCGCTCGCACCTTCTGTAGCCTTAGACTCGTATTCGGTGCATGATGCTAGGCTTTCTGCTTATTGCATCCCCAACTTCTCAGGACTTGTTTTCTTCCCTCTTTTTCCCTTTAAAATCTCTTTTTCATTCTGAATTGCTGCCCCTCCTTTCCTACCTTGGAACCCGTTATCTCTGGCAAAAGCTCGGGGCCAGAGAGGCCCCCCACACACCCTCGTACCCACCGCGGGACCAGTGGCTGGCCCTCACCCCGAAGACAAACCTCGCGGAGAGCCGTGTGACAGAGCGATAGATGTTTAGATCATTCGAGGCATGTGGTTCGAAGTTCTGTATTTCAGATGAATTTGTATGTCTATCCCTGCTCCTCTCAAAAAGGAACAGCTAGAGTTTTCAGCGCAGCCACGAGAAAATGCATCACCAAGTTGGAAGGCCATGAAGGTGAGATTTCAAAGGTGAGCTGCTTTCTCATTTGGAGCAATTTATTTACTTAAAAAAAATTGCGTGTTTAGTATGAGTATTGGCACTGAGCTACTTAAGATTTTCCAATTACCTCATTCTTTCTAGAAGTCAGTTACCTAAAGATGTTATTTTTAAGTGCGTCCTGAAACTTAGTGTAATAAGTGATTTCTAAAAATTTCAAAAACTATAAAATTGTTCTCAGCCATCAGCAAAAGACTTAGTTAGCTGAAAATACTTATTAAACCCATGAAAGAAGCTTATAAAGTGCTTTTCCTGGTTCTAGTAGACACCCAAGGTTATATTGTGCAATTAAAGTAAGTATCAAGTATTCTGTAAATTAGGTGCAGTTGAGGAAGTAATTCATGGAAATATTTAGCACCCAACAAAGTTTAAAATGACCCATTTTGCAACTCGAAGGCTGTAGCTTAGAATTTTGTATAAACTCCTCCCAAAAGCTTATTCACAGAGCAGGGCCATCCGGTCAGTGACCTGAGGTTTCGATGTGCCCTCAGAAAGTTTGAGAGAAGGCTGGGACTTGGTGACTCTCACCACCTAGCTCAGCCCAGTTCCTTGACCTCATAGCTGAGGTCAGGTTTACTCCTTCCTTGTAAAATATCAGGTCTCTGATGGTTTCAAGTCTCTGAAGGCTCCACCTGGGTGGGGAATATTCAGAATATAAGACGCTTTGGTCTTTGTCCTTAGAATTGTGAGGGGGTGGGGCAGGCAATTAAGCGCTTCTGTCTAGATTTTAATGGGCTTGCATTTATCCCTGCAATATCTGCCCCACCATGAGGGAACTGTTCTGTGTAAGAATAAATACCAGCTGGGAAGGTGACATGTGCTTAGTAATGTCCCCTTTGTGCGGATTAAAAATACGTTGGGAATCATCACGCAAACCTGTCATGGATTTTTCTGCCTCTTTTGTAGATTTCTTTCAACCCCCAAGGGAACCGTCTTCTAACGGGCAGCTCTGACAAAACAGCCAGGATCTGGGATGCTCAGACCGGCCAGTGCCTCCAGGTGCTCGAGGGGCACACGGACGAAATCTTCTCCTGCGCTTTCAACTACAAGGGCGACATCATCATCACAGGTGGGGAGGGAGAAACGCCACAGCTTGCCTTTCCTTTAAAATGGGCTGGCAGAGGCCCTCGGCTGAATGCCAGCAGGGGCCCCCTCCATGCCCTTCCTCTCTTCCGGGGTCCCTGGCCCAGTTTGAAGGGGGCCCTAAATCCATTATTTCACTTTAGTTGCGTCATGGAACCACAGGAATGAGCTCTGCCACTCACTGTGAGGCCTGTGAATTTGAATTTTAGTTGCTCTGGACAAAGTAAGACTTCTGAGCCTACCTTGTTGGCTTCTACATTTCCCCGGGCAGCGTCCCCCGAATGCTTAATACCCAGTTGGCGTCAGTTAGGTGCTAGTAACTAAAACGAGTCAGGACCCGGGTTCTCCACAGTCAGATTGTAGCTCACTAGAGATCTATTCTTTGAGCTAAGTTGTTTTTTTCCTGGATGTGCCCTGCTAACATACAAATATTTGGGGGAAGAGAAGAGATATTGAGCATTTTTCAACCATTAACAATTTATTGTGAATTCACCATATTGGCAACATTTCGTAAGAACTGGATTGAGGATGAATGAATTCAGATTGCGGAAAGGAGAGGAACGTGACAAGAATTTGGTACGATGTCAGTGCGATGCTCCTGGAGGAGGCTTGGCAGGGTGGGTGCTGTGACAACGTGGGGGCAGGGATGCCCTAAGAGGGCACAAAGACCCAATATGTCGAACTCTCAGTGATTCCCACCGTGTTGAGTAAATTTTAAAGTTGCTTAACTATCTAATAAGTTCAATGTCACATACGCAGGGGTGGCTTTGTATATTGGCTGCTTTGTAGTCATATAACTTCAGGACTATAAATAATCTCTCCTTTTGCCCTAAAAAACCCCCTCTGCCTTCTGCTTAATTATGGATAAGCTTTAAAATTACAGATGACTTTCTGTGGGTTTATGATTTCTAAGTGTCACTCCTAAGAGAGTACCATTAGAAGCCATCTATTTTGTTGTGGACAGCATGTCAAATCCTTTCCCATGACAAGGGCAGAGGTGGGGCTGTGATGAAAGACACGGATGCTCTGCAGGGACCGGCTGCCGAGCCGGGAAGAGGGAGGCGGCTGGGCTGGCAGAGGACCCACGGCTCCTGGTCGAGGGGCTTCATGCGAGGCCAGGTCCACATACCTCCTCCCTCAGCCAGTTTTCACAAAGAGCCTGGACAGCTTAGGGGAGGAATATTTATTGTCTGTGCCTTGTTTTAGTGCTGGCACTTAGATTCCTGAGCTCTTTTAAAGATGTTCTTGATTTATTTAGTGTGACCCAAAGCACCAAGGCCCCCTGGACGACAGAGCTTGTTGGCACAGGGTTGACATGCTTGTCTTGCCAACAGCGGAGCCATCCCTTTGAACTGATCCGCCCGATTTTCTTGGCCGAGCCCAGTGTCCACCATGCATTTTTTAGTGAACTGCCTGAGGTCAGGCTTAGAATCACAAACTGGAAGAGAATTGGCCAGAACCGTCATTACATTTTTAAAGCATAAGGTGCTTTTGGCGGAACGTGCAGTTTTCACAGGCTTTGCCAATCCAAGTAGCCCCACAGCTCTATCCATGGGATGCGCCTGGCCGTCGAAGAAAACCACACCAGGACTGTCGTTTCCATAGGCGGGATGTGGAAGGTGACCCTGGGCGGGGGGACCGCAAGGCTGCTTTGGCAGAGTGTCTGCCGGAGTGGGGAGTGTAGGAAGGAGGCAAATTGTGTATGTTGACCGATGTGAGAAGCGCCCATTGACACTTTGGCCTGCTCTAAAGTGGAGTGCACTGTCTTATACGCCGACACCCAAACCCTGAGCTGTTCGAGTTCATTCTATCTCTACCTGGTGGTGATGTTTGAGGGGAGGGCAGATGGAATTGCAAAGGGGTGTGTCCAACGTGGGGCAGTCTCAGGCCCTCTCCCATTGTAACATGCCATGAACCTTGCCGGTGTGAGTAGGATGTGAACTTGCATAATTTAGGACTTGTGGAATCGTGCAAGAAAAAGAGAGAGAGAGAGAGATTCTCAGTCCAGAAATACCTGAGCTGAGCATCTCGAGCTTGGCAGCTGGACACTGAGAAACTAGCAGCACGTTTAGCCCACTGGTAATGGACAGAGACCCAGAAAATGTCCACTTGTAAAGAGAGAGAGTGAAGTGAATAAAATAAAGAAGAAATGACTTGGTGAAATTTGTCTTCCTAGGCAGCAAGGACAATTCCTGCAGGATATGGCGCTGACCGCAGGAGGCCGCCGCGCTTGCTGGCCATGGGGCAGGAGCCAGCCTCACCGGTGGCCCGCAAGCTGTTCCCACGATATTCCACGTTTTCTCTTTTCCCACGAGTCAGCTACTCATGCACTGTCTTTTGCGTCACAGACACGACATTTAAAACCAATGAGCTTATATCATCTCTTGTTGTTATTTGATGGAGATGACAGGAAACAGCCTACTGTTTGGAAAATGCCACTAGTTATTTCAATTTTGTTTTATTTTTAAGAGCACCATGACCCTGATAACTGAAACCAGAGCAGTTTAACAACGTATCTCCTAGACCCTATTGTGAAGGCTGTTAGTTTAATTTCTGTTAAATAAAATTTTTGGAGAAATTCTTTGTGAATTGTACGTAGATGTTTACCGCATGTTTTTAGGGGGTCGTGTATGTTATGAATGTTACTAGAAGTTTTATTAGTTAGTTATTTTACTTTCTTCAGGGAATTTTGGAATAGAAGGCTGCTCTTTCTTCCTTCACATCCAAGAATCCCCCTCAGCCCCCCCAAAAGTTGAGGCCCTACACTAAACAAAATTAAGGCAGCATATAGGGAAAATGGATCTCGTTTCATGGCAAGTATATTCTGGATTCATAGTGGGCTGAGGAACATGTGGGCAGGTTTACTCACAAGGAAAAGTTAAGCAGAATAGACGTTCATTGAATGAAGAAATCTGTGTGGAAGACAATTGAGGTACCAGGGAAACGAGTCAAACACCAACCCGACTTCGGCTGAAACACTGAACAATGTTTTATAAAGGCTGTTTTATGTCAAAGTGTCACAATTCCTATTGCAAGTTATGTTAGAAGAAAAGACACAAGACAAAACCAGTGATGCCTGAATCCAGAGCAAGAGAATCTTGTAGAATTATTTTCTTAGTACTAACAACAGCAGTCACTGTGGCTTAACGGGCGCCAGACGTCGCCCAGCCGCATGTGTGGGCCATTGCATTGCACCTCCCAGCAGGTGACAGGCCTGACGCAACACGAGGAAGGCGAGTCACAGCGACAGTCAGCCCTTTGCCAAGGATGCCCAGGCGTCAGCAAGTGGAGCTGGACTCGGAGACCGAGCTCCCTAGTGCTGTGTTCTTGGGCGAGCAAGGGGTGGCTATGGGAGGAGTGTCGGACCCGTGAGCAGGAAGGTTTGGGGTGAAGATTGCCTTTCAGATCGTCTGTGAATGTCCAACCTTCGAGAAGGAAAAATAAAAACAACACAAAATAAACAAAATTTCCATGTGGCTGCTGGAAGGAAGAGGTTCAGAGATGGTGAAGACAAGGAGAGCCTGGGTTAGAGAAAACTAGATAAAAAGCTTGCTACTCCTTTTGAAACTGGAAAGGAGCAGCAGACACTGACTCTTCCTCTCTGTCTTTGATGACCTTGGGAAGGTTGCGATACCGTTTTGCTTTGTCACTGCAGAGAGTCGGCCAATGAGTGGTTACAGAGATGATCCCATGCCTTACGGACCAATTGAAGAGTAGGAAGCCCTTGGCCAGAATAATGGCTCCATGCTCTAATTTTTATTTTTTAAAGGATTTTTCTTTATACAATATTTATGAAGGTTTCTAGATATCCTAACCTGCTTAAAAATAAGTGTTTAAATACTTAAGACCATAAGGAAGGCTCTAATATACTGTTTCGTGTTGGTTCCCAGCCTAAGGATAGTCCTGCTGTTGGCTCGGAGGCACTCCCCTGGGCTTGTACTACCTGTGGCAGCCCCACAGTCATTTCCCCTCCTGGACCCAGTGTGGCTGGACTGGCCCCTTGTGGTTCTTGTGATTGCAGGATGCACCTCAGCAACACCCATCAGGGAGGGAGAGAGAGAGAAGACGTGGACTGGGGCCTGTGCCTCTGTTAGGGTCAAGGGCAGGGTGCCCGTGGTTTCCTGGGTTCACTCTTTATTGCTGAATTTAAAGCGTAAGAGTGGAATTAGCGCATGGGAAGGGGAAAGTGGGGTGACTCAAAGCAGTCAGTTAGCCAAGTTGCCCCAAAAGGGAAAGCTCATGGGCGTGAGAGGCCTGGCTCCTTGCCTAGTCGTTAGCTAGTAGCTGGCCACGCAGCTGGGGACGTTTATTTGCAATGGACGCCTTGGGAATGGATGCCTCGGGGACCCAAGGCTAATGTCATGAGCTTACACTACAGGAAAACAGCCTATCGTCAGGCACTTACCCCGCCTCTACCCACTTGATGTTCCCCTGAAGTACTGTAGGGCCCATGAAGGGCGGGTGGGGTCAGTTAGATGCCCGGATGTACGTCTGTTTTCAAACTCTTAATTGTTGGCAAGCTAGCTTACGGCTCTGTCTCAGTTTTCTTATCTGGAAAGTGGTAATAACAGTTCTTGATGGGAGGCATACCCGGCATATAACAAGCATGATGATAAATGTTTCTATTATTCTTAAGCTCAATAGTTAGCAGTCATCTTTAAAAAAAATTGTTTTGTATTATAGACAAGATTTTCAGGAGGGAACACAGTGTTATTTATTCATAAATCATAGTTGAAATATAACTCACTCCATGTCTTATAGGCATCTTAGGGAGAACTGTAAATTGAATTTTGATCAATGAAATTAAAATTTAAGAGCCCTGGGAAAGTTTTTCTTTTAAAGGTCCTCTGTTGAACAGAGAAGCTGAGATGTGAGGAGATGATCGCGATAGATGATTATGGTCTAATCCATCTCCATATATTTAGATTTCGTATAGGATTTTATGAAAGTAGATAATCCTCATAAAAATGAATTATCTTTTCTAACAACTCATATCTAAAGCTGCAGTAGCTCATGATTAAGCATCATGCCTGATTTAAAGACAAAATAAATGCTTTTTGAACTGAACAATGCTTTTGCTACCTGTAAATCTTACATTGTCGTGTAAAAACACATCAATAATCTTTTAATTAAAATTATAAGTGAATTTGTTATCTTATGCTTTTTCCACTGCTGATGTTACTCTTAAAGTAATTTACCTTGAGATGAAATTTAAAATAAAAAAAAGAGTAATTAAGATATTTAAAGACATATTTCTTCTCAAACACAAGGAATTGTAAACTGACTCAAAATAGCTATAATCATTTTAGTTATCTTACCAAGATTATTTTTGTTTTGTTTAATTCAACTTCACTGTTATCTTGGTTAGGATGGTTTGGGCTGCAAATAACGAAATACATAATTAGAACACAGTCAGTCCCAAAGTCGATATTCAGTGGCCCAGTGACTCAAGCACCTGGGGTTTGGGAGCTTTCTCTCTGCTGTCCTCGTTGGCATCGGTCCTCGTTGGCATCTGTCCTGTGTATCCTTCCAGATGCAAGATGGTTGACACAGTTTTCTTAGTTTAAGTATCTTGCCATCTCTTTCAGTCTCGTCAAGTCCAGAAGAGAGCTTCTTGCTACTCCTTCTATTTCTATTTGCCCCAACATTTTAGNGTTGGCATCGGTCCTCGTTGGCATCTGTCCTGTGTATCCTTCCAGATGCAAGATGGTTGACACAGTTTTCTTAGTTTAAGTATCTTGCCATCTCTTTCAGTCTCGTCAAGTCCAGAAGAGAGCTTCTTGCTACTCCTTCTATTTCCATTTGCCCCAACATTTTAGCAGTTCTAGTCCTGCTAACAGTGGAATCATCTATCACTCCCTCCCCGCTAAATCATAAACATTTTCCTTAATTAAAAAATCAAATTTTAGCTAGCTAGCCTTATTGCCATTTTAATCTGTAATCTATAACTTCATTACTCCCCTTCCACACTCAAAACTCAAACAATCTTCTAGTTATTTACCTTGGCTTTATCAGATTATTTCTTTCAAAAGTATAAAGAAAAATAGCTCCAAATATTTACAAGACTTGCATAACTTAGTTCATTTAGTGAGAGAAATAAAGTAGAAATGGTCAGATCCCTAATTTAGAACTGATAAAACATGCTTGGGAAAGGGAGGGTGGCTTGCCCAAGATCATTTGGCCAATAAGTGGCCAGAAATGAACTCAGACCAAGAAAGGCTGAGGAAGGCTGCGGCCTCCACGCAGCCCAGCGAGGCTGTTAAATGTTGACGAGCGGCCTGTGTGTTTTCCCACATGGTTATGGACTGTCACGTATGGCTTTTTGTGTGTGTGTGTGTGTCTATCTTTTGAATACCTTGAATAAAATAAGTTTAAAAAATAAATGTTACGAAGCATGGTGATTTTTTCCCAGTTAATAAGAGTTTGAGTTTGGATGTTTGTTGTGCATATAATTATTTTATAATCGAATCCCAGTTCCGAATGGCCTCTTAATTCTAAATGCATTCTTGTCCCAGTAATTATACTGCAACAGATTAGAAATATTTCTTCTGAACATGACAGACACTAAATAAAAAATTAAGAATAGCTTTTGGAGATATAAAGGAGCAAGTGCTCGGATTCTTATTGTTCATACGCACACAGAGAAAAGGTGGATATAATGACCAGGGAGCTGCATTCGGTACCTGAGAGGCCTGTGTGAGATTTTAGGAGCAAGCTGCTCATTCGCAACTGCATGTTTTCTACCCTGTAACAATAGCCGCAGTAAGAAGGGGCCCCACCGGTTATTACTACGGAATTCATGTCACAAAGACAGGCCTTGGAATCCCTCTTCCCAAGACAAACACTCTTTCTAAGACACTGGAAACAAAGACAATGGCCTAAGTATATAAAATAGGGCTCCGGTATATTAAAATGTGTATTTGTTTGATTGCTTAGTAAAATGGTCTAACTTTAACATAAAGATACATATAAAGTGAAGAATCTGAAAAAGAAAGGTTTTAGAAAATGTAGAGCAAAGGAGACCACAAAAGCCAGGAAAAAATACTCATTTTGTTAAGTAAATTGAGTTAATTTTGTTTAATGAAATTGATGCTTTATGAGATGAATGTAATTGAATAACACTATATGGATTTTTCCCTCTGATTTACATAACTGCATTTCTGACTCTTGATATTTCTCTAATGGTCACTATTTATTACAAAGGGTTGCAT